TCTTGCTAAAAAATATGTGTGTTTTTTTTCCATTGATACATACTTGTTAAATTTCAGTCATAGACTTAGAAATATTCTGGTGAGCTATGGCTAACACATAAAAAGGGAACATTACAAATTAGTTTACAGTTTTGAGTTAATGAATATAACTTAGACAAGATACAAATATTCAGAGAAGGGAAAATGTAGATAGGATTTAGGTGGGTAAAAAAGATAGCATGGGGGCTCGCAAGTGGTGTGGTTAAGGTGGCTGGACTCCTACATGGTTGACTATCGTTCGAGTCCCAGATCTGGCAACTTGCTTTCTCAACTTTCCCTCTCTCTCTCTCTCACTCTGTCCCTTCTGGTCAAATTAAAGTAAATAAAGTTCAATAAAATAATTCTTAAAAAATAACATGAAGTTATTCTAATCTCAGGAATAGCTGAAATGAACATTTTGATTAAGTAGAGTCTTAGAGGTAGAAATCCAAAATAAGGAGGCTAGCATGAATCTATAAAGTTCTGAAAAGTGACAGAAACACTTTACAAGATTCACTGCTTAGTGCTTCTTGATCTGGGTAAATTAACCATTCTGCATCTCAAACTTTTTGCTGTTAATATGGAGTTAAAGGAACTCATGACAAAGAACTCAATGATAACCCATGAAAAAGAGCCCAGTGCTTTGAACAGAATAAATTCTCAGTTAAGATTATCTATTATTTTTATCTGGCATTAGTGTGTGTGTGTGTGTGTGTGTGTGTGTATAAATATACACACACACACACACACACACTATATATATATATAATTGTTGTACCTATTTTGATGTAAAAAAGTGAGGGTGTGGCTGGGCTATAAGAAGAACCTAACTTGGGACCAGCAGTTAGCGTAATGGCTATGTCGCTGGACTCCCACACAGTCGACCGTGGTTTGCGTCCCAGACCCGGTGGCTTAAACTCACGCCGGGTGCGTGTGCGTGCGTGCCCAAGATTCCGAGAGGAGAATGGAGAAGGGATTGCGGCGTGGCCATCCCCCCTGGGGGGTGATTTCTCGCTTTCTGTCTCTCTGTCTCTCTCTGTCTGGCAAGTGCACGTGCCCTATAGCAAAAACCTCTCCAATAAAAGAAAAGAAAAAAAACAAAGAGCCTAACTAACTCTTTATTAAACCTAATACAATAAATTCCTTTTAAATAACAAGATCTTGCATAATGTTTTAACTTGCAAAAACTAATTTGGACTTTAATGAGATTTTTCAGAGACTAGGCCTCGAGACTGCACCCCAAGAAGCAGATGTGTGTGGAGAGATGAGTATGAAGGAACATGCTGGCATCATAGGTGGGATGACTATTACCGAACTCAAATTAGGTTCACTCGCCCAAGCACTATAAAACTAAATCAAAGGGACATGGTATGATGAAGGAAAGTACAGCTTTATTGCAAAGCACAAAGCAAGGAGAGCGGCAGCTCATGCTGAAAAGACCCAGTCTCCCCGAGATGTTCTCCACATGCATTTTTAAGGGCTAAACTAGGGGCAGAGGTCCTAGGCACACGATCAGTTCATTGATTGGTTCAAGAGGGCATGATCATTTTGTGGGCATTCTTGATTGGTGAGGCCTTAGATAATCAAATTCCTCTTCAGGTGTCTGGAGCACTTCATTTAGCCTGGAGTCTTTGAGCTCACAACCAGTAGTTTCCAGCCTACAAAACATCTTACATATTAAAATGAAAACCTTCTTTCCTTTAAGTGAGAGCTTTAGAGGTCAGATGGACCTCACTCATGGTCCATGTTGGTCATTATCATAACCAAAGTCTGAAGACTTACTTCTTACTCTGGGCCATTACAATGTAAATGGACTTTATATTTCAGGAACCTAGAAAATACATTAGGGGATTCTTGCTGGGTTTCATGACCACAGTTGAAACATAATCACCCTGATGCTAGCAAGTCTTCCCATGATCAAGAAAATGATTCACCGCTATGCAAAGCAACAGGTAACTTCCCACATCATTCCCTTATAAAAGTCCTTCTTAGATTAGGACTTGGGAGATGGTTTGGAAACTAAAATCTGCCAAATTTCTACATTGCTGGCTATCTGAATAAATCTATTGGATCGTCAGAAAAGTCATGATGTATTTGTGCGTCATGACTTTTCCAGTGACTTAATATTTTTCCTTTCCACTAACATTTGTTTCTTGAATATTTGTTTTCTAGCAGTGTGAAACCAAACTTCACTTGAGTTTGGCCAGATTCTGGCAACAACAGCATTAGTAGAACTGTGATAATTCTTTGTTGTGAAAAGGGGCAAGTAGATATTCCAAAGAAAGAATTGAAAGGATGTGGTTCCTAATTAGAGTGAAAGGTGTGAAGAAAATATCAAAGAAGAAAATAAAGTGAAATTACTGATAAAATAAATGATAAGAGACATAATGGGTATTTATTAATTTGTATTTGGAAAATGAGGATTTTAAGTAATAGCCATAGAAACTGGTAATTAGAAATAATGATAAGCTTTAGAAAGTCTTGGCCATAGATAAGGATTTGAGAATGCAGAAAACAGGTTGCTTTCTAAGGAAGTTTTTATTGATACAGGGGAGGCCCAGGACAGGGTCTTTTGGTAATTATACTAGGACTAAGGAAGATAACTTAGTCAGGGAACTAATTAGATAAACTAGAAGACAATAGAAATGTTGGTATTTCCAAATCCAAGAAAGAAGAGTTTAGGAAAAAGAGGTGGGGTTGGAATTGTGCAATGTGCATCTGAAGCTGGAAATGATTGGGACTGAAAAGAGGCCTTTGGATTCAGACAGAGAGAAATTATTAGAGACAGTAATAGGCAGAATAATGGCCCACTAAACATGTCTACAACCTAATCCCTAGAATCTATGAATAAGCTATGTCACATGGCAAAGGAGAATCAAGGTTGTACATAGAATTCAAATTACTGATAGGGTTGTCATATACTAACACATTATCCTGGGCTATCCGGATGGGTCCAAGTAATCACAAGAGTCCTTAAAAGAGAGAAGAGGGAGGCAGAGGAGTGTCAGAGTCATGTGATATGAGAATGACTTGACCAGACATTGTTGTTTCTGAAGATGAAAGGGAACCACACACCAGGAAATGCAGGTATTTCAGAAGTTGGAAAGACAAGAAAATAGATTCTCCCCTAAATAGGGGTGGGGTGGGGAATAGACAACCCTGCTAACATCTCTATTTTAGCCCAATGAGACCCTTGTCAGACTTCTGACTTTTAGAACTGTAAGGCAGTAAATTTATAGTGTTAGGCTGGCCCATGGCCTGTGGTTAAGGGAGCTGGATCTTATATGGCTGAACGCAGTTCGAATCCCAACCCTAGAGTTTTGAAAAACATGCCAATCATGTGTGTGTGTGCTTACCCAAAATCCCAACAGGATGGAGAAATGGAGAAGGGATTACAGCATGATCATGACCTTTTGGAAGTGCTTTCTCCCTCTCCCCATCTCTGTACCTCTCTCTGGTGAGCACATGTACCTTCTAGCAAAATTACATAGATAAAGATATGCATATGGAGTTTTAAGCCTCCTGGTTTGTTGTACTTTGTTATGGCTACAATAGAAAACTAATACAGTAACCAAATGGGAATCTCTTATGAGTTAGGAAAGATATTCCAAAGTGAAAAAAGGGACATCCCAAACACCTAAAACCTGACAGATGAGAAGTGGCTGAGAGACTGGGTCTGAACAGCTGGAACTAAGATGGTACCTGGAACAACTGCTACTTAACTTTCAGACTCATTGTACCCTCATTGTACTGTATTAACATGCTAGGTGACACTCATAGCGGTACCATGGCAGTTTGGAATAACCATATCAACAACTGGAATTACCCTAATAAGGTCATAAAGTGGGAGGGACAGTGGTTCCAGGAAAACCACTGCCCCCTTTAAGAATAAGTCATGAATAAAACTGTTCCTTACTTAGCCAGGTATTAAGCCAGGCCATATAAGCCAGATGCACACGGAAGTTCAGGGCTGCCCTTCTATCTTTCCTTTCCTGTAGGTAACTGTTCTCCCTTTCCTCTCTGATGAAGGAATGACTCTATTGTCCCATCTCTTCCCACAGGGCTGCTCCACTCCTGGAGTAGTTTGTCCTCAACACCTTCCTTAATAACCTTGCTTTCAGTCTCCCTCAGTGGCTCATGCTTTCGTTTTTTTTCCTATGCAAAACCAAGGATCTCCACATCCATGTCGAGACTCCCTCATGGGTCGACTCTTCCTGGCAACATTTCCTAGAATTTTGGTGGTGAATGGTATATTGCAGGGAATTTGTTTTAATATTAGACTTACCGACTCATAATTTAAACGATTTCTTGTTGACCTTCTTGTTTAATTCAAATACTAATACAGGACATCAGATTTAAGAGTCAAAACAGGGTAGAAGGGCAGGGCCGTTGCAAATATGTGGGAGTCAAATATCTATTAGCTACATGCTTCCTACCTTACCTATATTAAATCCCTCAGCTTTCAAGACAACTGTGTGACCTACGTAATATTATTCCCATTCTGACCGACAACCTCAGATACAGAAAGGCAACTTGCTCAAGGCCACCAGCTACTATGTGGGCAGCCCCACACAAACCTAGGCTGTTTGGTTCTAGAGTTTGAGCTTTTCCACTTCCTGCCTTTGCACTTTGAGAGAAAGGTCCAGATTTGTAAGAATTTTTGCAAACAAACTTTCTTTCAGGCAAGTCACATTTCATGGGACATATTTACCTGGGTACCCAACTCAAACCATTTAAAATTTTGTTTCGCCTTTAAAAAAAAAAATCCACAGCCCATATCTAGACGGACTATAAGGAGCCAGAAGTCAAGAGAGATGGAACGGCGCTGGAGGGAGGAGGACCGAGCGGGAGGAGGGGGCCGCAGGATGTTGGCGGCGGTCGGCCGCCCGGTGGATTCTGGGAATTGTAGTCCCAGGCATGCAGGGCATTCCTATTTAGGGCCACGGGAGAGCCTGACTGCACTCCCAGAAGCCTCTGGTGCGGCTCTCTGGGAACGCACTTCCTGGGACGCTGAGAGGGAGACGCTCCAAGAGGCTCCTCAGTGTGGGCGAGTGAAATGCCCTGGATGTGAGAAACAGGTAGGTGTGGTCCAGACGGTCCGATTTGGGGGACTTTTTTTTTTAAACAAGTCGTTGAGAGTTTTATGTAAAATAGCTCAGTTGAGGCGAATCGGGGGGCCTTGGAAAAACGCTGACCACGAAAACGCCAGACACGAAAATTGAGTGAGGAGGTATTTGATAAACCTGTGGGGAAAAATGATTTGCGCGCAGGAGTATGGTAACGTCAAGGTGTGTTGCCGGAGCAGCCGAGGGCCGGAGCTCGGCTGCGGAGCTGTGGGATGTGGAGCTGCGAGTTGCTATTTTTGAAGAACCAGCTGATGCTGGTTGTGTAATGATGACCTGCTCGCGGTTCAAACCCACTCAGTGTTGCGGGGATGGGCTTGCTCTGCGAGCGTCAACCGTCGCTGTGTTGCGGTCGCTTTCCATTGGCTCTCACCTGAGGGGCTGTTTCCCTCCCACCGCTTTCTTTCTGCCTGCCCTGCAGCTCCTAAGGACGCAGCTGGAAGAAGGGGAGCAGACGAGAATGGGAGAATGCAGACTGTCTTGGAAACTTGGCTTGTCCTCTGAAGCCCAAGTTCTGTGTTCCCAAAGGGGCCCAACGCTACTCCAGAGAAAAACTAGACTTAGTGACCCTACTTAAAATTGCTCAGTGATCTCATTGTTCCTATAAAACGGTTTCCTTGGATTTGAGGGTGAGCGACTATGCTTGATGCCAACCCAGACGTATTTGGGGAAACATTCAGACAAAAAACCTTGATTAAAATCTCCTTGCAGACTTGCTGACAGCATTCTACATAATGATCATAATAGAGATGGTGATAAATGCCTTCATCAAGGAAGCTCTCAGGTCTTTACAAGTTTTCTCTTCTTCCTTCCTGTTTGAGATAAATAATAACAGTTGAAGAGGAAGTTCCGATGTTTAAAGTAGATTTATGGAAACATTTTTAAATGGCAGGTTGAGCCATTGGTGGAACTAATTAAAAAAAAAGAAGGCATTCTAGTTACAAATTTGGGGATGCATAGGAAAGATAAACTTGGCCTGGTATTGTCAGTATCCTTTTAAAAAGTATGAAATCTTACCAGCTAGTGATGTGGAGGTTAAGACACTAGAACCCTCATGACTGACTTGGTTGTTCTAATCCTGGACTCAGCAGCTTGAGAAACACCAGTGTGTGTGTGTGTGTGTGTGTGTGTGTGTGTGTGTGTGTGTTTGCACATGCCCAAAATTCCTAGAGGAGAAGGGATTGAGGTGTGGTCAACTCCCCATGGTGTCTGCTCTCATGTGCTGTCTCTTTCTGTTGAACACATGTGCCGTATAGAAAAATTACTAAAAGAAAACAAATCCAAAAGCTTAAAATCACCAGTGCATTTTTCTTTTACTTCCAAGACATTGGTATAGTGTTCCCTCACCCTCATTCTTTTACTTCACTCATGAAAGGAGCTTTAAAAATTCAATTAAATACTGGTCATATATTTCCAAGTAAAGTGATTTTTATCCTCATTTCTCCTACCTTCTCAAATCACAAAATGAAAGTTTTTTTCCTTCAGTATCATACATATAAATACTACAATGAGTAAATTTTAGAATAAACGGCCTTTTAAAATGTATTATTTTTATTTTTATTTGGCCAGAGAGGGACAGAGTGAGAATGAGAGAGAAAAAGTGAGGAAGTAAGCCACCAGGTCCGAGACCTGAACTGTGGTCGGCCACGTGGGAGTGCAGCGCCCTTAACCACTTTAGCACCTGCCGGCCTTAAACTGCCTTTTTTGAAAAATTTATGGTCAACCTTTTTGGTACATCATTTGTTTTAGATGATTGCTAATTATTATTATTATTGTGTTTAGTTTTGCTCTTAGGGTATCTGCACTTGCCTGAGAGAGAGAGAAAGAGAAAGGAATCAACTCCCAGAGGGAATGGCCGTGCCATAAATCCTTCTCCACTCTCCTGTTTTTGGGCACATGAGCACATGCCCTGCTGATGTGTTTTTCAAGCTGCCAGGTCTGGGACGTGAACCGTGCAGTCAGCCATGTGGGATCCAGCTGCCTTAACCATGTCACTGTCTGGCCCTATTTTTTCTAATGCATATTCAAATAGAGTCTTTGGAAAAGTTACTAAAGTTAGTTGGGTCGTTTTTCCATTTTTTTTTTTTTCAGGCCCAGATCATCTTTACTGTGTGTTTAGATGTGTGTGTGTTTCTTCTAAGTTGATTAAAGCTGTTTTAGAACTACTGGGTCCCTCAAAGGGTAAGTATATCCTTTGATTATATCTTATTTTCCTTCTGCTACCATGTATCAGTCACTAATGACATTTTTTTTTCTCTTGTTCAACAAAATGAAGTATAGAACAGACTTCTCTTGTAAATGCAGTGACTGATGACACAGTTTCTAAGAAAACCCAAATTGTAGCTAGAAGAGACTCCCAGTGTTACCATCAAGGATTAATTTAGCTGCTATTCAACATGTATTCTCTTATTCCTCGAAATTGTCCCTAAAGAAATAGTAATGGGTTTGAGAATTCTAAAGCTCTCAGTCACTATTCTTCCTCTAGCTGTCTTTGAACTTTATTCAAAACCAAAGAAATTACATCTATTTGAAAATATTTGTATTTGAAATGATATCTTTGATAACATTTCATCGTATACCAAATTTTATTCATCTTCCTTTCTGAAATTTACTGTGGAAGAGAAGGTCAAATGACAGATGTGAAGTGGTGTTTTGAAACACTCTTTATTTGATTTGATCAGTCACCACTCCAAAGAGACTACTCTGTTATTATATGACTATAATTATCTGTGGCTATTTACTGAGAATCCAGAAGAAAAGCATATTCCCAGTTGAAGAAAGTAAATAACCCTGCCATAATATTCCAGACTGAAATTTCTATTTTTTTAAAGAGTTATTTTATTTAATTTTATTTATTTAAATTTGACCAGAGATGGACACAGAGAGAAAGTGAGAAAGCAAGCTGCCAGATCTGGGACTCATACCGTGGTCAGTCATGTGGGAGTCCAGCACCCTAACCACTATACCGTTTCCCAGCCCCTCCAAACTTAAATTTCTGGCCATATAATAGTTTACAAAGGGTTTTGGTATTTATCATCTCACTACTATATGGAGCATTTTACAGGTGAGAAATTTGGGGTTCAGAGGACATAGGTGACTTGCTTGGTTTGTAAATGAGAGATGATGACAGGTATTGAGATCTTTGTACCAAGCTGCCTCTCACATACAGACAACAAGCCCTATATCAGTACAAATGACCCAACTCAAAGCTGCCACCCAGCTAATGTTCATGAGTGCTTGTCAGATTGTTCTTAACCTTACATGTTCTCTGCAATCCTTATATAGCAAAAAGATATTTTTCCTATTGCTATAAAAAAGATATATAAATACAAACATACAGAATTAATTACTTTAATCATTAATTTTATATAGTAACCATTCTTGAAGAGAGTATGTCTAAAAGCTAACACACCTACTAAATTAAAAACAAAAGACTCACCACAGACATGATTGATTGAAATCCTATCGTAAACTAGTGCTGCCAAGCATTTATTTATTTGTTTGTTTGTTTATTTCTAGAAGTATAGTCTTATGTAAGTACTTGAAAACCTTATTTTCCCTGATCACAGATGTCTGGGAGAAGAAAATGAACTTTATTTTATAAAAGTGAGATATTTTGTGGGGGACCAGCAGTGAGCCTAATGGCTATGTCGCTGGACTCCCATGTAGTCAACCGTGGTTTGTGTCCCGGACTCTGGCTTAAAACTCATGCTGGGTGCGTGTGCGTGCGTGCCCAAGATCCTGAGAGGAGAACGGAGGAGAAGGGATTGCGGCGGGGCCATCCCTCCTGGGGGGTGATTTCTCACTTTCTATCTCTCTGTCTCTCTCTGTCTGGCGAGTGCACGCACCCTATAGCGAAAACCTCTCCAAAAAAAAAAAAAAAGGGAGATGTTTGGGCGAATACAGGGCTAAAGACAATGACATGGTCCAGAAGCAGCATGGGTACTTCAAAACACCAGATGGTGTAAGTTGCCTCAAATGAAATGAATTGAACTGACACTAGAGCAGATATATCACTTTTTCTCTATATCCTGACTACACTCATATTGACTGGCCATTTGTTTGTTCATTAACAAGTAATTCAACAAGTAATTAAGTGCCTTCTATGTGCCACTGTTGGACACAGTGAACAAAACAAAAGGATCTCTGTTTTCCTGGAACTTAGTCTGATGAGAGAAAAAACACACTGAACAAGGATAAGCATAATCGCTGCTATCAAAGAAAAAACACAAAGGTGCTACCAGTGAATGTAAGTAGCGACAAGGGGAGGAAGAAGGACATTTAGGGTGGGCCTCCCAGGAAACTAGAAAGATGAATATGTAGGTGTTAGCTAAGTAAAGACTAGCATGGGATTAAGGAAGTTCTAGGATGGGCCCAGCCACTGTGTTGCTGACTATACCTGTAGGTCCAGCTACCTGGAAAGCTGAGGCAGGAGGATTGTGGGCTCGAGGCCAGCACAGACAATACAGTGAGACCGTGTATGAAAGAGCCAGATGTGGCATGTGCCTATGACCTCAGCCACTCCAAATGCCAATGCAGTAGGATCCCGTGTGGCGAGACACTGTCTTAAAAAAAAAAAAAAAAAAAAAAAGCGTATCATGTGCACACATACCCCCCAAAAAGTTCTAGAATGAGGGAAAGCCTTTAACCAAATTAGAAAGAATTTGGGAAGCTGAAAGAAAAGCATTATGGCTTCATAGTAGTGTGAAAGGGAGAATTCTCAAGATAAGGAGGTTAAGAATTTGTCAGGAGCCAGATGGTATGAGCTTTGGGGAGGATTTGAAACTTTAGAGACTTTATTCTGTGGGAAATGGAAAGCTATTGAGTGGTAAGAAATGGAGTGACACAGATTTACATTTGAAAAGAATTCTGAGTTTAAAATTAATTGACATAGCATAGAGGTAGAGGTCTTTTTACCATCTCAAGAGTGAACAAATTCTAGTTTGGAGGTCAGCATTATCTTTTAGTTCTAAAATACTAAATATATAACTTCTCCCAACTCTCATATAAAATCTTACTTTATCTTTCTAGTCATATATATTACTTATTATCAGATCATACATATGTGAAATTAAGAACAGAACATAACTAGAAAAGCAGCCAAAGACAACTATGGAGTATTAGACATTACTTCTAGCACCAACATTGAAATTTAGCTTAAGAATTTAAGTAAATGTTACTTTCTTTGTGGAAAACATAACCGATTGTGTATAAATAGGGTTTGCAGTCAACTCAAGCTAAGAATACATCATTGAAAGCAAGTTCAGGACCGGCTCTAGTGGCCAGGGCACCAGATCCCACATGACTAACCATGGTTCAAATCCCAGCCCTGGTGGCTTGAAAGATGCCAGGCACATGTGTGTGTGCATGCTCATAATCCTGACAGGATGGAGAAATGGAAACGAAGGGATTGTGATGTGACATGCCCCATTGGGGGAGTTGCTTTCTCCCTTTTTCTTTTTCTGTCTCTCTCTCTCTCAGGCTAGCAAGTGCACATACCTTCTAGCAATTAAAAATTATTTAAGGGAAGAAAAAGCAAATTCAGCAGATTGGTGTAACATTTATACTGATTTTGATGCAGGATATACCTAAACACACTTAATAATGAAATAAATGTTTGCCTACCTCTGTTCATCAATGTTATTTGATAGTCTGTGCTAAGAATTATATTTTTTAGTAATAAAATTCATTATGATCTTGTTTCTCATCCGATTTGCATTGCAGAAATCAGTGGCATAGGACATCTTGATTAGAGCAATCTAAATTGCATTGAAATCCAAATTACTTATTCCTCACCTCTGAGAGCAGGAAGGAATTATGATTAGGTTAATTTAAGACTTTTGAGTTATCCAAAGGGATTTGAAAATTTGGAAGAAACAGGGAACTTTTTTCTTGTGTCTTCAATAACTTTAATCAAATGCTTATTTTCTTTGATTGTTTAGTCTTTCTCTAACCCTGGATACTACTTTTTTTTTTTTTTTTATGAACAGGTACTTTATCAGTCACTTTGCTTAATACCTTACAATTATTCCTTTATATGTAGTAATTATACAATTGATTCATTGTCAGCATTTTGAGTTTGCGTAAAACAGCGTATTTTTTCCATAAATCTGTTAACATATTGGAAACAAGGTCTAGATCTCTATGGTTTAGGAGTCCTTCCTGGGTCTGACAGTGTTTTGCATATGCTAGATATTTAGCACAGTGGAAACACTTGTTGAATGAATGATGGCTTAGTAGTAGCTACTTCTTTGTCCAGTCCTGCATTATTATTGGCTCACTTTAGTGAGTTACAGTAGTCTGGAGATAGGGCCCGCTACTCATTTATTCAAATAATCCTAAAGTGGTACCAGTCAAATTACATACACTGTGCAAATTACAGACAGGCAAGTGAATGAGCAAAACCGCAAGGATCTGAGTTCTAGAATTGGACATAATTGATGCCTTTTCCAGTGTAAACATTACCAAATCTGCACAGGAGTTCCATTGCTAGATGTAGGTGTTCGGTTGCTAAAATTAAGCAAGACAATTTTTTTTCTCAATTTGCATGAAAAAATAAACTAGAACTACAATTTCAGTGTTGTAAGTCTTCATCAAATTTTCTCAGATAGTTACTACTCTTGGGGCTGGCAGGTGGGCGGTGGTTAAGGGTACTGAACTCCCACGTGGCCTACTGTGGTTCGAGTCCCTGACTTGGCAGCTCGCTTTGTCACTTTCCCATCTCTCTCTTGTCAAATTAAAATAAAGTAAGAAAGAAAGAAAGTTAGGTAAAAATAATTTTTTTTTTTTCTGGAGAGGTTTTTGCTATAGGGCGTGTGCGCTTGCCAGACAGACAGAGAGAGACAGACAGAAAGCGAGAAATCACCCACTAGGGGGGATGGCCATGCCGCAATCCCTTCTCCATTCTCCTCTCGGGATCTTGGGCATACACGCACACGCGCCTGGCGTGAGTTTAAGCCACTGGGTCCGGGACTTGAACCATGATCGACTACATGGGAGTCCAGTGACATAGCCATTATGCTAACTGCTGGTCCCAATAAAAATAATTATTAAAAAAAATAGTTACTACTCTTGATAATACTGACAGATTAACATAATAAACAAGTAGTAAATGAATATTAATGAAAAAATTGGAATTAACCACATTTTTTCTTTTTCTTTTTTTTGGAGAGGTTTTTGCTACAATACATGTGTGCTCGCCAGAGACCGAGATGGGGGGATGGCTATGCCACAATCCCTTTTCCTCCATTCTCCTCTCAAGATCTTGGGCATGCATGCACACGCGCCCGACATGAGTTTAAGCCACCGGATCCGGGACTCAAACCACAGTCAGCTACATGGGAGTCCAGCAACATAGCCATTACACTAACTGTTGGTCCCACCACATTTTTTCTTAAAGAATTATTTTTCTATATAATTTTATTTACTATTATTATTTTATAATTTGCTATAGGACATATATGCTTGCCAGAGAGATGGGGGGGGCAGGAAGCAAACAAGCCCCCAGGTCCAGGACTTGAACCACTGTCAGCCATATGGGAGTCCAGTGCCTTAACCACCACACCACCTGCTGGCCCTGGAACTAACCACGTTTAACTTGAGGGCATTTAAAAAATGGTCAGATGTTCCTAAACTCTGATTTTACTTTGAACACTTGCGTGCGTATATGTGAATATATGTATGTAAACTTCACACATTTTTCAGCAGTAAAAGTATTCCTAGTTCAAATGATTAAATTAAATATATAAATAATGTATTCTTTGCTAAAGAACATATACCCTAGCCTTGTGGTCATGGTCTTTTTGATCCTGACCTGCTGGGAATGCTGCTCCACTATCTCAGCAGGTCATATTTGATTCTGCAAAGCATGATGGATTCTCTAAATACCACCATTCTGTATCCAGAAATAAAAATTATTCTTAGCTTTGGCCCTTCATCATGCTGGGGCCAAAAAAAGGTCATGTGCTCTTTTGCCTCATAGGAGCTATAGAAGACAAAGAAAATACATTTGAGTAGTGCTTTGAGAATAAATTACTAACCCTTGAAGAAATTAAAACTGAATAATATGCTGGTTTTTAGAGTTTGTCATGTACAGGAAAAGGACACAGCCTTTTGTGAGTAGAGAAGGGTCTGACTACTGTTTTTTTTTTTAATTGCATTAGTAGAGATTTTTCTTTAGAAGTCTTCACATTCATCTTATAAGAACAGTAATAGTTAAATAACTAACAAATGCTATCAGTTTCCCTGAAAAACACTTGAATCATCTTGACTCACCCAGGAAGTAGTTGAGCAGAATAATTTCACTGACCTTTGTTCTCATCTTTTCATTTGACTAACTCATTGGAGGTGAATCCTTTCACTTTTTATAATTTCCCAGTGTACCTAGAATGTAGAGAGGTCAGTTTGCTTTTTCTAATTTAATTCATTCAATAGAATGTTCTTTGAATTGCTCTGGTGTGCACTGAGCAGGTCACACAGAATGCTAAGTAGTAGTTAGTATGTGCAGATAGATCACAGTACTCTAGATGTCTTTTAAGCAGTTGATACTTTAACTCATTGAATCTATAGAATAATTCTGTGAGGTACGGTTATTTTTCCATTTTACAGGTGAGGAAATTGAGATACAGCCAGTATCTCAGAACTGGCTTAGTTAGCTGGGAAGTGAGGAAGTGGGATTAGAGCCCAAGCAATCGAGAGTTAGCTCTCAGCCCATCTACTTTCCTGTAGGGCTTCTTTTCCCATACCTTTGCTTTTATGAGCCACCTTCACTTCTGTTGTGTGTGTGCTAACCTCATTGGACATTTGCCTGAGCATTTGAGATTGAATTCATATTGTTTGTAGCTAACTGATGGTCAGTGAATGCTCTGGCCCTTGGTATATATTTGAGTGCCTGACACATTAAGATGCTTGATATATGTGTGTTGAATAAATGATTATTGACAACTAAGAGAATTTTAGGTGTGATCATCAGAGAGTTTAATATTGATTTGGTTGTTCCTCTAACTGTGAAGAAAAGTATGATAGCTCAAGATTTCAGTTGCTACATGACTCAGTCAGTGATAACCAAGCCCATGTATGTGCTCCTGTGCCCCGAGGTCACGTGCACTTGCATTTACATTTATATTTTTACAGAGAGAAGAAACAGTGGAGAGAGTTTCTCTCTTTTCATTGATATTTCATTGTTAGCTGTGTTGCCAGGTGGTATCACCTTTCCTGCTGTGCTCTCCTGTCGTTCCCTCATGATTTGTCCTCTTGTGTGTCACTCCGTAGTCTGAACGTACTGCACAAGCGGCTGCCTGCCTGCCATGGGCTGTCGGGATGTTCACGCAGCCACAGTCCTCTCCTTCCTGTGTGGAATCGCCTCAGTAGCAGGTCTCTTTGCGGGGACTATGCTTCCCAACTGGAGAAAGTTACGACTGATCACATTCAACAGAAATGAGAAGAATCTGACTGTTTACACAGGCCTGTGGGTGAAATGTGCCCGCTACGATGGGAGCAGTGACTGCCTGATGTATGACACTACTTGGTACTCATCAGTTGACCAGCTGGACCTGCGTGTCCTCCAGTTTGCCCTGCCCCTCAGCATCCTGATCGCAATGGGCGCCCTGCTGCTCTCCCTGATTGGAATGTGTAACACGGCCTTCAGGTCTTCAGTGCCCAACATCAAACTGGCCAAGTGTCTGGTCAATAGTGCAGGTTGCCATCTGGTGGCAGGGCTGCTGTTTTTCCTGGCGGGTACTGTGAGTCTCTCTCCGTCGATATGGGTCATCTTTTACAATATTCACCTCAACAAGAAGTTCGAGCCAGTATTTACGTTTGACTATGCAGTGTATGTCACTATCGCTAGTGCTGGGGGCCTGTTTATGACTTCCCTTCTACTGTTTATTTGGTACTGTGCATGCAAATCTTTGCCTTCTCCTTTCTGGCAGCCACTGTACTCCCATCCTCCTAGTATGCATACGTACTCACAGCCCTATTCAGCACGCTCCCGCCTCTCTGCCATTGAAATTGACATTCCAGTGGTTTCACACACCACCTAGTAGGGAAGTAGTTAACTGGTAGAGAAAATTTGTAGTCTCACATTTCCCTTGTGCAAGAGCTCTTTCGAATCTCTGTTCTCCTTTCTTCCTGACAAGTCAGTGAAACCAAATTTGTATGTCCTGGTAGAATGAAATGCTGCTAGTTTTTATAAGTTTATTATTTTAAATGTGGATCATTCCTTTTATCTTATACTGGAAGGATTTATAACCTCCATATTGATATCTAATTATTTAAGTGGAAAGGACCTGTGTTGCAGTTGAAGTTATTTAGGGGAACATGGTGAAGAACGACAGCTAATAGGAGGTGTATACTTTTTTAATATTTTAGTGTATATTGTTCTTTTTCTGTGATACATTAAACTAGGGGAAAAAGATAATTTCACATACTGTATAAGAAATTTATTCAGATAAGGGTAATATTTTGACAGTAGTCAATAATCTACCAGCCTCAGACTATAACTTTTCTTACTTCTTTCTTGAGGCTAATTGTGTTGAGTAGGCTTCAGTATGTTTAAGGTTACTTTCTCTTGTGAGTTCCTTCTCTTCTACCTCATGCCAGTGTTAACATACAGTTTAAATGATATCAGAATAAGACTAACATTTTAAATATCTATTAGTTAATGGACAAACTTTTAACATAATTTTTTGAGTTAATGATTTCATGAGCTGTATTACCAGAGTTAAAGTGTGCCCTGTGACAGGTCGGTGCTTCTGAGGCAGATAAACCTTTTTTACAGATACCATCCATAAATGGTATGTGATCATGCCCATGTATAATCGCTTAGTGGCTAAGAGAAATAAAAGGCCATAAAGTTTTGTTGTCTTTTAGACATACTGTCAGGAGACAACAGTCTGTTCTTCGGTGACAACATTAGAGGTTCACTCTGGTGACTACGATTTGAGTGACAAGGGAAGTGAGGTGTGGCTCTGCCGTGCGCACATGCACCCTTGACTCTGTTCCCTCTCCATTACTGGTTATTTCCTCGGACATGTATCTCTGCCGAACACTTTAGTGGGTGCTAAAGAGCATACATGAGAAGGATGAGAGCTGGTCCCATTCACTAAGAAATTTTAATCTGTATAATAGAAAAGATCACACTGTTACTTGGCAGTAATGGAGCAGTCTGGCTTCATTGGCAGCTGGCCTTAACTTTTCAATCATTAATCCAGGAATGTATTTCAACCAGAGACATGACTTTTTTTGAGAGAGAGAGTTTTTTTTTTTTTTTTTTTCTTCAAGGTGGGCT